CCAGCCCATTCTGCGGACAGCGAACTCAGATTGGATGTGTGAATTCATTGCAGTTCTTCTCCTTACGGTTGCCCAAAGTGGATGCTCGCTCAGTTTCAGTCCCCAGAAAGACTCCTCTATTCAAGGCCAAACAAGGCTGCAATGAAACACTTCCACCTTTGTGGCCAAAACAGAACAACATTCACAACATTTACCAAATGTTTCTGAACGAGCAACGGTTCGGCGTGGTCAGCCAAACATGCGGCACGGAATATCATTAATCCAAGCATTGTTCGGGAGGCACCGACGATGTGTTAGGTGCTGTTGGCTTCACATCCAGATTTGTCAAAACGTAATTTGATGTACTGGAAACATGTTCATCAAATGCTGGTTCTCAAGCAACACGTTTTTCATGAAAGGGATGCATGGGTATCGGGCTCAAGTTCGCCAGACGCACACAAATCTAGCCAGAAATGCGTGTTGGCTCCAAAAGGAATGGGGTTGGCGAATGCATACTTGCTACACGTATGCAACTTGCTGACAAAGCAGAGAGTCCCTTGACATGAAGCAGATCACACCCATGGCTTTCCGCATCTCCATACACAAACGAGAGTTGGCCATCAGGGCTGTTGCAAGTAGGCAACGGATATCAACGGATCATTCCGCAGCGCGTTGAAGCTGCCGACAGGAACTTGCCAAGGCTTGCCCTTCCAACCCTATGGCCTGCAGAGACACACACATAACCTCCCAGCCTGGCTTCATCTGTCCGATGGCTGGTTTGAATGAACGTCATCACGCCAGCCCTTGCAATTTGCATAAAGGATAAGGTGCAAACACCCAACAGCGACATTATTCCGCCCATCTTTTGGGGGAAGTTCAGGAAACATGTAAATCCGCCCTTTTCCATGAGCTGGATTCTTTCCTTTTTGGGCGTCGTTTGAGTCATCCAACATCATCCAAAATAGGGCCCCCAGTTCTAGGGAACTGGCAAATGCTGAATCAGGTCCTCCCTTTCTCAACCAAACTGACAGGGCCCCTCTCCACATTTTTCAGACAGGCGTTGCATTGGAGACCTGCCTGGCGGCCAGCAAAGTGCAGTGCCCACCAAGGGCCATCTCTGCGAGACTGAAAACCGCCAGGAGGCAGTCCAAGCCAACCCAGCCGCTGCGCCAAATGCGGGACCCCTGGCTGAGGAAAATGAAAACCCAGCTAGCCGAGGGTTTCTGGGAATCAATCCGTTTTGGTTGACTGCTGGTCCAGTATCGGTTCTCTCTGTTCCCACTGGCGGACACATTGTAGGGCCTCGGAAGGGCCACAACTTCACTTCCTCATGTCCCGCCGGGCACAAGAGCAATCACCACGACGCTCTACGATGATTTTTTTAATCAGATGGTTCAGAGCCTGCAATGCAACGTGTAAGGACCAACATCGTTGCGGAATGAACCTCATAAATCAGGGTCCAGGGCTAATAGGGCGCATGTATGAGTTTCGGGGTGTTTCAGCCAAACGCACCGAGAGTCCAAAATTGACAACGGATCAGCATGAACAGGGGGCTCTGAATACACACAAAAGGTATGAGTGCCTAAATCCGCGGAGGGGCTGAGAACAGTAGACACTGGCCTTGTTCTTTCATGTTTGCAACTGGACCTTGACTGGCCAACCTTCACATTGTTCAGCAGCCCACGCTGGCAAACAGCAAACCGAGAAAATACACGACACAAATCTATAAGCAACTGCCCATGCCAATGGAGCTGTCTCCAGCTGGTTCTCAGTAAATAATATGGGATTAAGCTCCCTTCAACCCAGTGTAGGGAATGCTTTTGGGTTTGAAGATCCTGGCGGTAGAACATTTGCCCCTGCTAAAGGGCAACCACATGAATGTGGTTTGATGACCTTTCAGTTGTTTGGAGTGGCTCGGAGTGATTATTCTGATACCTGCCTCCGCAACAGCGCGGATTAGGAGCTCCAGCAGGAAGAAGGCGAAGTAGACCGGTGGGATGCTGGCCCAAGGGTCCTCAGTTATCCGGCCGGGGGAAACCCCAAAACCAGGCAACTGGGTTCAGCTTTAGAAGGGGCAAACAGCACCAATTCAGAAGTTCTGATGGAGCCCAAGGAATCGTTGCAATTCGCTTTCAACCCTGCAAACAGTCGCTTTCACAGAGGAAAAGCTGTGCAGCACATCTTTCGATAGAATCATCGAACAGCCAGAACACTCTACAGTTGACCCCGAGACAAATCCCACACAATCGGAGGCTCGAGGACATTCTCTGCAATCATTACCAGCGCCACACAATGAAGGATCAAGAGCAGCCACGCCAAGATGTTGAACCACCAGGTGCTGGCCACGAAGCTCATGGACTCGGTCACAATCCGCTGGGCGGTGGGGCATCTCTTGCGTGGTTTCAATTGGCCTTCCAGCTTGCCTGCAAGAGATTCGGCCAGCGTGGGCGCTAATGAAGGATTGACCTTCTTTTCCCTGGCTTCCGAAATCTCCCTGGCCATATACATCCCGTCTTCTGTGTCGTCCAAGGCGTCGGTCGGCAAATTTGCCTTCATCGCTTGCACCAGAAATTGATTGAAGCTTGCCGCGTCGCGCTGCGCATGTGCCAGTGCTGTGTCCTTCGTCTCGGAAACGATCTGCAGTTTCTCCGACGACGGTTTCATAGTTTCTCCTAACTGCGTGAGCCGTGTCCCCACAGAGCCAAGAGCACCCCCCACATCCCCGATGAGCTGCGTGAGTCGCTGGGAGGGCCGCCGGGTGGTTGTGGGTTGCGAGACGTTGCTGCCAGGCGAGTCAGCGGGAGGGCTTTGCGAGGTTTGCGCCGTTGCCGGCAAAGAAGAGTCTGAAGTCTCAATCCTTGTGACGTCCATGGAGGTCTCTGGAAGCTCCCCGGTGCCCTCCTCCCATGGCTCCTTCTCTACCTCATCTTCTGGCTCAGGCGCCTGCCCCTCCTCGGGCACCTCATTCATCCTACAGGCTACAGGCCGCTAACGCCGCATGGGCTCAGAGCCTTTGAGCCCCAATGCCAAAAGCGTTCAAACACGCCTGTGGCAAGGCGCGGCACATATGACTGGCGGATCCATTGCACACTTCGGGGCTCTAAAGTTGCACATCTCTGTGAAAAACTGAATGGTACCGAACGCTTGCAGGTAATGCCGCTTGGCTGGCCCCGGGCCATCGTGGGCGCCAACTCCAAGCCCCTTGCACGCAGAGGTTGGGATGTCCTCGTATCGCGGGGGAAGCGAGAGCGAGGGGTCTGATGTGGAGCTCTTGAGGCAGAATGCCACTTAAAGAGTGTGGCAAGGTTCTGTCGTTTGTTTCCACTATGGGGACACGTGTGGAATGCAAGCTTGACGGCTTGTCTTTAGGAGGCATCATGGATGCCACTGTGCAAAGCTGATGGCCTTCCCAGCTGAGGCAGGCACTCTGGCACAAGCTCTCCGGCGGTGTGCTCAGCACCTTCAGCGTATCTCATCGGGGAGGCAATCGCCAAGAGCGATCTCTGTGATTTGGGGTTCTCACAATGGCTGCTTCGCCCTGGGCCCAACCTCCTTTGAGACACCCACGGACGACGGCCGACCACTTAGAGCTGCATGCATCTCAAGTAAGGCTTCTGAAGGAGGCCATCTGCAACTCTATCCGAGGACCCGCACCGCCGGGGACCTCAGAGCAAAGCCCAACCCCAGAACCCAAGCCTGCAAACACAAAACAAGTGACTGAAGGAGTGACAGTTTGATGCTCTCCCCAACTTCTGAGCCGCCAATTAGATTCAACAACACTCTCATGAACTGTGTGGAGTGAGCTTGTATGAGGTTTCTTGAGGGTGAGAGAGGTTTCATGGTGACCTAGCCTGTACTGCACACAAGGACGAAGCACAACATCTAATTTATGGGTGTGCAGCCCGCCGCCCTCCAACCTGCACGTATGGCCTGGGTTTTTTTTGGGGGGGGATTTGGTCGGACTATGAGTCCAAAGGCAAAGGTTGTGGTGGAACCATACTGTGAGTCTGGACCACGATGAGGGGAAATGAGGCAAAAGAAAGGCCGGTTCATGGGCGACGGACTCTGAATCCAGCACCGAGGATTGATGCATTGGCGAAGGACTGCCAACCAATAACGCAGGTGAAGCCAAACAAATATATGAATAGGATCAAGAAGTTGTCCAAGTCTATTGGGTGCCTTTCCGTCTAGCTATTCGGGGGCTTCAAGTGAACCAGTGATTGCGTCACTGGCTAATGGAGAACCTGTTGCCCTGTTCCATCCGCAGAACCTAACACGACCTCAAGTTGACGTGTTCAAGGAGGCTAACGCAACACGGCCACCCATGGCCAACGGACGCCAAGCGTGCAGGAACTGGACGCCGCAGCCAGACGTCATGGATGCTTCTAACCCTTGGAAGAAACATGAGAACAATTCATCATGATCATAGCTGAGGCTGCAGCAGTGGAGCCAACAACTGCGGCGAGCGTGCCAAGCCCTGGCAGGGACAACCAGGAATACGTCAACATGACGCGGGAACCTGCAAAGTGAACCTGAGTCAACTTTCTAATTACGCTATCCAACAAGATAGTTCAACAAATATCTCGTGGCCTCACCACGGCACACTGTGCATTGGTGCTAAAAACGGCAGCACGTTTGATCTACAGCTGGATTAGGCGACAGGAGCCACCAAGCTGCTTAGTCGAAAGTCTAATCCGTTGTCAACGTGTTTTCATCATATTCCCTTGTGACAACAGGAGGCATCGAATCCCATGCTGAAGTGAACACCCGGCAGCGCATTCGACGCGTCCCAGCCTCGCAGGCTAGACCTGGGCTTTGATCCTGAGGGCTTTGCGCCAGCCGCACGTGCCGAGCAGGCCTGGGCCAAGCCCGGAAACCCGCCAGCAAACCAAGCCGAACAACGCAAATTGAAGAAGGGGTCCGTGTCCTTGCAGGCTTGCTTGCACAGCTCCATCTGAAAGCATGAATGAGTGCAAAGCAAGCTTGCCACGACTTGATTGCCCATGCTTCTGCAGGCATGAAGCATGTCTGCCCGGCCAAATGCGACTCAGCCCTTGGCGTCCCCAAAGAGGTGCGGGTTGGCTTGGACCTGGCAAGGGGACACGTGTACGTATACGGCAATCAAAATGCACTGCACGCACTGCTTTGAACTGCCTACGCGAGGGCTGACAGATTTGCAAATTAATAGGCCAACAGATGCCGGATGAGGTTTGGCGCAAGCAGCCCAATGCAAGCAAGCTGCATGAGCCACATCAAATAAGCAACGCCATGAAAGTTACTGCACAAGCACTGCAAAGCCAGAAGTGCTGCTTAAGCAGCGCAATGCAAGCAGCGTATTACGGGCAAGCGGATGTTGCAAAAAGACTCTTCGCAGTGCTTTCATAACCTGCCATGAGTCGCACGTCACATGCTGCGGTCGCAGTGCCACTATGCCGTCAAGGCGAAACCTGTCCGGCGCACGGAGTGCTCCGGTTCATGGCGACAATGACAAAGTCTGCCTCGCGCCCCCTAGCCTATCCTTGAGGATGAAAAGGCAGCAACCCACGTGGCTCAAGAGCAAATCAAGTCAAAACTCAACTTGCTCAATTTCCTCCCTTGCTGCTGCCTGAGAAGGTTTCATTACCGTTGCATTCCGATAGAATCACTTCCTGCAGCCCTCGTGTATGGCCTCAGCACAGAATCCTGGCGCGCCTCCCGTTCTCATGACTCGCGTTCAACGTACGATTGATTCACCGAATGTTGCAGGTAAAGCAGAAGACCAACAGTTGTGCTTTCTGTGCAGCGTTACATGGGATATGTAGAAGCAACCGTGCCACGCCGCCTTAAAACAGCTTGAAAGTCAGCTTCAACGTGGCCTGTCAGGCCCTTTTTCTTCTGCGCCAAATTCTGGACCGAACTCATGGCATTTGCATTGGCAAAGCTCATTCCGTGGGCAGAAGCGCGGGCTGCAATCGAATAATTGTAAGAGATCCGGAATGCTTTAAAACATCCAGCCCTCCATTCTGCGAGAGCCTACAGCCTGACTGCCTCAGTCCACCGCATGCCCAAAGACCTGGATGGACGGGTTTTTCCGTCGATTGCCGCGCTTCCAGCTTCTTGGATGTCGAAAGCTGCCCGGTATTTTGCCTTTTGGAGCTGGGCAAAAAGATCGGAGCCGGCCCGAGTGCCAACAGATTTAAGGACATCTAGCACTATCATGAGTTTCCTGAGCATTTGACAGGACGTGAAATGATTGCGATGTGGCTTGAGGTTCAGCCGCTAAACGCCAACTTGTGAAGCTTCTGAAGCCACACCATGATGCCCAAGAGGCTTTAACACTTTAGCATCAACAACTGTGTCCAAAAACACCTTGAGATCTTTAGACAATTGAGCGCTGTTTCAATTTCAACCTCTGAAGCCGGCGCAGCTGGGTGTGCTAGAATATGTTCTCCCAGGCGCGACAAACAGGCACAAACCCACCGAGGATCGGACATCGCTTTGGGCCGGGGGCCATCGCAGGAGTCAACCTGGCATCATTCAGCCGGGTGGGAAGCTGAAGGCGCTATGCTTCGGAGTTGAACACCCCTGCACCCGTCGTGCAGTGTCTGGTTGCGGCATTGGCAAACCGTTCAAACCCTGCCAAATCGAAGCTAAGTGTTCTAGCCATACAGCTCTGTCACGATTAGAATTTCCAACAGCTGAGCTTTCAGCTGACTCAGTGTCAACAAAGAAGAAACTTCGGGAACAACAATGCTTTGCATATTCGTACACGCGCACACACAGCAAAACATACATGCCGAATCAAACACGTGCTGCTGCTGCAACATTGAAGATTGATGATGTTGCACGCCAACCGCCCCTGACTTCAGCATGACATATTGAAGCGCGAACTCTTGCTAGGGGTAAGCGCCGTCGCCAGGGGCACAAAGGTGCCACTTTGCTGAAAAGAAGGCAAGACAAATGTCTTTGCTGTTTGCCTATTCAACTGAACGTATCCAACTTAGGGAATACAGGCATAGTCCTTGTCGCTCCAAGGACTCATTTGGCCTATGTTGCCCGTAAAATTCGGTCCTCTGTTCCGTGCTGATTCCAGCCCGGTTCGAGGATGTCAAGCAACTGCCCCTCCTCAAGCACTACCCACCTACCCACCCTGCGCAACACATGACTACAGAACAGCGCAGAACAGCGCTGCAAAAGCCGATGTTGCAAGAGCTTGCGGGTGGGCATGGCAAAGGCACCACGTTTGCCATCTGATCCTGGTTTGTGCCCTGACGGAAGGTTCCCGATTTTCGTTGTGAAGGCATCATGGAAGGGAACCGTTGGCTCTTGCGCATTGTTATTTTTGCCAGAAAACCAGCACTGCGCTTTTCTCAATGAGAGGGCCAGTCAGTCGGACGGGCGCTGCTCGTCGCTGAGAAGGCTTTGCAAGCGACGCGGGGACTACAAGGATCCGCTCCTAAACATTTCAGGAGCTTGTCAGCCAGCGGCCGGGGCAAGCACCAAGGGCCTGAACAGCCGGGGCATGGGGCCAAACCAGGATCTTCTCTCTAGGCCGCCTTCCCTTGAGGAAGCGAGCATCACTGGGAACGGGACTGGGCAGACCGGGCGGCCGAGTGAGCAGAGGACTTGGACTTCACCGTGGATGAGGTCGGCGGGCGGCTGCCCGCGCTCTTCTCTTCTGCCTTCCGCAGCTCCGCCGCCATTTTGGCCTCGGCCTCCGCCTCCGCCTTCTGGATTTCCTCACGCTCCTGGCGTTTCAAGGCCAAGGTTCAAGGCCTGCCTGTGGTGTAGGCGCCTTGGTTTTCTGAGGCAACCTTTGCAAGAACCGGCTTGCATGGCTATTCTGGTATAACAGTCTCCCGCTCTCCTGCTCCCAAATGCGCTGCCATTTCTCCTCATTCTCGCACCTCAGTGCTGGGAGAGCAGGCCCATGGCATTAGCACACTTCTTTGTTCAGCACCGTTGTTGGAAAGGGGATTGAGCGATGGGCTACGGGACAGTTGTTCATAGAATTACAATTTCAACACACATTCCTTCAAACTGTGCCTCGTCAAAAAAAAAACACAGCCCCCTAAACAAAACCAAAGAATCTGTCTGCCGCTTTTTCACCACTCATCAGGTCACGTCGGATGCACAAACCAGATATGTCCAGCTTTCCCCATCAACAAATACGTAACAATCAGCAGGTTCCGAACTGGTTCCCAACCTTCGCCCACCAGTTTGCCAGCGTGCCCGTACCTCTTTCCCAACGTGGTGCCAAATACCGGCTGTCCCTTTACTGTCTGAGGGAAATAGCCTCATGATGCAACCTTGCATTCCCCCCACATGTTTTCTTAGATTCTGGCCATGAATTGGAAAGCTATGAATCTAAAAAGAAAACTGAAGGGACATCTGTTGTTTGCTTCTGTTTTCTGAGTTGTAGGCTTGAAGCGCATGATGTGGGCTCCTGAATGGCTATCCACGCCACACCTGGGGCCTACGGGGCCCTCGCTGCATGGTCAGCGCAATGAAGCCGACCCCTCTGGAGGCGAGCATGGCGCATCAACTGGAGCAACTTACATCCGCTGCTAGAAAGCCAGCTGCGGGATGTATCGCCTCTCATCTGCCATGGCTGAAACAAGCCCCTTCGCCAGTGAATCTGACAATATCTCACAGGGACATGCACGGCAGCCATTGGACTTGGATTGCATCTGCCCATCGTCGCCGGTAACCAGGCCTTCACCGGGTAGCTCTGCAGCATCGCTTCTACGTCCTTTGGCCTGGCAGGCGTGGTGCTGGATGCGTCCAAAGGGCCAAAGGGTTGCCGGTCCGGAACTAAGGAAATCCCATGTGTTTGACTGATGAGGGCGATGAATATAGCCACGCCTCAACCGTCCTCAATCTGTACTTGCGCCGATCCTTGTAAGGCCTTGCAAGAAGCCTTTTAAGAAGCCTTGTAAGGGCGCGCCCACCCAAGCAGGACCCAAGCAGCACGGCCCAGCCCAGACTCACCTCAACCAGCAACCCAGGGGCTGGGCTAAGCCTTGCTAGTGTCAAGGTGGTTGCCAAACCAATACCCAGCCTCACGCCCAGACTGAGCCCACCCAAGCAAGGCTTGCCCCGCCCTGTCTTAGATTAGCCTCAGGCCCAGCAGCAACTTAGTGTGCAGAAATGCCATGTACAGCCCGCATGCCAGCCCGCCCACTAGTTCAGCCTGCCTGGCTGGCCAGCGCCACTGACTCTTGGCTCCATGACTCACTCCTGATGCATCGCCTTGCCCTTGCCTCGGGGATTCCTGCGCAACTTCGGCCATGACATCAATTGGTCTAACGACGCCAGAACTTGTCCATTCAGGAATCGCCACTTGACCAGCTCTGCTGCTTGCAGTCGAACCACAGACGCGGCTGGACCGAGGCGGGCAACGTTTAGTTTACAATAAGACAAGGTTCGTCTACACACCGTTGATGTCACACAATGCCTGAGCCCTCATGCTCGAGCCATTTTCTGTCCGCAGTCCTTGACGCCCGAAGGGCGCTCTCTTCGAATTCGGATGGGGCAATTGCCTGAGAATCTGAGAAACGCAGGGCCAGCACATGGTCAACGCCGCGGAAGCAACTTGATGGCAACTGCTTAGCTTGCCCCTCCCGTGGGTAGAGGTGAAGCCCCGATGCCTTCTTTGGGATTCATAGGGCAGTTTGACCAAGGCAATCGTCAGCTAAACCGGAGCTTCATCCGGAAATCCGAGGCCCAGCAACCAGGCCTGACACGATCCGGCCTTTCCCTGGAGCTCGCTGGCACGAAGCTGCGACGTGCCAACAGCACCAAGTGTTTTCTGCTATTCAAGTCACAGCCCCGTGCAGTGAGACCAACAGCTCAACAGAAATTTACTCTAGTTGGAGCAGATTTGCAAGCCTTCACTGGCGACAGGTACCTTGGCACCAGTCAACTGTCAGCGGGGAGAACTCACCAAGACACGGATGCGGTCAGCTGAGGCGCGGTGGAAGACAAGGGACCTGGCTCGCTTTATTGGGATGTGCACGTTCACATAGCTACACGTGGCATACCACATCAAGCCCCAAATGCATGACTGTGGAAAGGTAAATGTGCTTCTGCACTTGTGCATGTGCGTGTGCATCTCTCAATTTGTGAGCTGCAGTCGTGGCTGCATGCCTTGAACGTGGAATGCTTCTTTCCATTTTCGAGTTTCTTCATGCGCAGCCCGCATTCTAATTCAGGAAGCCCAACTCTTGCCAGCCTTGCATCCTCAAGAAGTCCCCCTGCGGAGCTTCAAAGTCAGCACCTGTAGCAGGTGAATGGAGCACAACCGTAATCAGGCCAAACAAGCGTCATAGCTTGATTCAACTGCATCCTCATCAAACGCAACCACCTAAGAAATGCTGAAAATTACGGACTCACCACCAGCTAGCCTGATTCTTCTTGCACTCGTCCACCAGCTGCAGCACATCCTGTGACTTGTCGGAGTGCGCTCAACGCAAGGCCAGTGACAGTGATGCAGGCAGCTGGGTCCAAGTCAAACGTTGGCCCCTCAGACAAATGCAATAGAGACAAACTGTTCGGCCCGAGCCACGGCCAAAAGCCACGCGTCAGCTTAAGATGCATAGCTGCAGAGTATGAAGGCAGAGCAAATTAAACCACGCCGGCCGAAGACTACTTTGGGCATGCGACAAGCGCTGCTGTCAACTCCAAAAGGCATGGCCTGGCCTTGCTGATCCCATTGACCTCAATGATGCGGTCACCCACTGCCACTTTCTCCTGTGCGAGAAAGTATCGTCAACTCATGGGCGGCCGGAAGAGAAGAAAATTGTTCGGATATCTCTGGGACATGCACGCAGCTAGTCAGTCCTTGTTCACCGGTGCATTGTTCCAGTCCTCAGATGCGAAAAGGTCTCTGTGGGGAAACTCATGCTCGGCGGCACTGGGCACCCAGCAAAGACCAAACCTTCGTTGACCACTTCGATGAGCAAGGTCTCTCCGTCCTCCCGCCCCCTCGTTTTTGATTTGTAGTACCCTCACCCAGAAGGGTCTGCAACTCGCATGGCCGAATTACTCTTCAAGCATGTCCACCTGTGTTGTCACATTTTGGAGGCACATCTGAAACAAGCAGCTGAGCCCCTCCTTGTGGTCAACATCAATGCCCAAGCGAGCCCCCGCAGACTTGTCCAGGATGACCATGTACTCTCCCGGAGCAGCCTCAACGCTGCAGCGTGTTAAAACTCCCCGAAATTCCAAGCACACTCTCTTCTTTGCCATGTGCAACCCCCCCGAGGAAAAACAAAAAGGGGGAAAAAAACAGCAGGGTATCCAGCTTGGCAGGCATCCTCGCAGTGCGTTCTGGGCAGCGCGCCTGTGCAGCTGCTGGCGCGCTGATCTCTGGTCCTGTGCGGTGGCAACTGAGCCCGGGACACTAAGGGTCGAAGCATACGCTGGCCCTCACTCCATCACGGGTTATAGGGGGTTTTCCCCTGGAAGGAGGGTGTATCCCACAAGGGCATCCCAAAAAAGTCCGGAGAAGTTGAGCTGTCTGGTTCGAAAGCAAATCTTGGAAGGTGCACGTCCTGCACAACACAAGCCTCAATCAAAGCTGAACAAGCAGCCGTATCCACTGCCGGAATGGTAGGTGCACGCAACATAGCTCTTGCGGCCGCTGCCCATTGGTACATATTGGCACCATGAACCGTGCCTGGGAAGTCCCCACCGGGCGCAGCCTCCTGCAGCAATGTTGTTTCGGACATCGAAAGCACGCACCGCAGGACTAGCATGCCATGACGTTTGCCAAAAGGCATGGCATTGCTCCTGCATGCGAACACGGTGGCTCAAAAGTAGCTGACGTGCACCCTGTGCTCGATCACAAAGGCGGTCCAAACCCAAGTGCTGCCCTAAGGCCCTCCCAACTGGCCTCAACAACCTGCATCCCAGAAACATGACAGGGTTGAACAGGAAGCTTATCCATCAGAACAATAATTGCCCTGTCCTTGCGTGTGAGCTCTTTCTGCTCATACTCCGCGCTCGCCTGCACCCCGCCCCCCAGTTGGGCTGCCTGGGGTGCCAAGGAGAAAAATATTGCTGCTGATGCACTCGCTGAGAGCATGTTTCCCAGTGTTGCATTGCCCTTTTGAGTTGCCAAAGGCATATCTGCCTGCCCGATGGTTTTCCACGAGCCCTGCCACTCATGACCAGGTCTGGGGTCAAAGCATACCCACGAACCGCTGAAATGGAAGCAGCTAGTGGCCCAGTGCGGGAAACATCAAAGGACACTTCCAAGATCCCCGGGACGAAAAACCGTTGCTGCCTCTTTCCACCAAGGTAGCCAATGCTTTTGCCCCCCGTATGCGAGCCCTGATTGGAGCCAATGCACAGCCCAGGCTCCGTGGCAACTCGGGCGCCTCGGCGCCTGTGCAGCAAGCTGAATTGCCCATGGCCTGGGCTACGTCTAAGACGAAAGCTTCGCCACACCCGGACTTTCCAGCTGCTCCGAGCCACAGGTTTCGAAACTGATGATAATCCCTTGAAAATCCTTGACAGTACGTCAAAGAAGAAAACAACAAACACCTAGTGAGCATGCCATAGAATGCTGCACTGCAGGCCTGCGCTTCTGAGGTGGGCGCCCTGTAGTGCAGAAAATGTGCACAAACGGGTGACAGAAGTAGGCGCTTCGAGCCAGCTGCGGTGACGCTTCTCTCTGTTCGCTGTGGTGAATTGGGCGACGTGTGCATCCTGACTCTGCAGCGGTGTGGCGCGTCAAAGGGGTATGAACTAGGCCTCATAACGTGGAGAATGGTTGACTCACGAGCAGTCAGAACCTTCCAAGCAACACCCAAAGTCGGCCATCAGGGCGTGTCAATCCTTGCCTCCCAGGCTCCAAGCCCCACATTGACCGTGCGATTCCAGACATCAATGTTCATATGTCAGCCGCAGGCCCATCTGCAAGCCACAGGGGAGGTGCGACTCTTCGGACCTTGCAGCCTAAAGGGATCAGTTGAGGGGCCAGCATCATGAAGCTAATAAAGGCAAGGGCCTGCAATGGTAGCACCCCCAAAAAAACAAAAAAAAATACAACAACAATCTAATAAACGGTCATCTAGTGACTAGTGGCGGATATTTTACTTGCTTTGGGTGAAGATTTGCTTCATTGGCCAGGATTACCCGTCTTCGGTTATCAGTCTTGCTCTGCCCCTGGCTCAGCCCACTCAGGCAACCGGGCGTCCCTTGAACTTCAAGCGCGGCTGGGAGCACGGAATGCTGGCGGTAACGCGGCCAAGGAAGGTGTGCCCAAACTCTGGGAGGTTGTTACCCAAGCCCACCTGAGCTGAGGGCCCAAGGATATGCGGCAACCGCCTCCCCGGTAACTACCTAAGCTGCCCTTGGCGCTCGCGACCTTTTTCCCCGCAGCTCCTCCAACACGTCCTTCAGCTCCTGCGGCATGGGCCTCGATGCAGCACAAGAGCACGTGAGAAGAGAAAACCAGGTGGGAAATGGGGGGGCACGCGGGCAGCGCCAAATAAACCGAAACCGCCCTGGCTGAAGGCTCTTGGGCAGTTCCAAGGATTCGTCAAAAAGCGAGGAACTCCAATATTGCGAACTCCAAGCTTCGCCATTGGTCTGAAGGGCGCGTTCTTCAGGTCCCGCAGGGTGACGCGATAGCAGTGCAAGAAGAGGCCTGAGCTTTGAGCTGCAGTTGGCCAGGGTTCTTGGAGGAGGCCTTTCCAGGTCTGAGCACGTCGACCGCTTCATGCAACCAAGTGACCAAAACTGGCAGAGCTGAAAAGCCGTGCAGCCCGCACTGTATCCCACACAAACAACGGGCGCTGGCCTAAAGGGTTGAAGCATATCATTGGTCCGGGCCTGCAGGCTTGCCCCACCCATGTGCCAAGCACTCCAAAAACTGAAGCCAGGGAGCGTGGACACCAGCTCGTGAGGCTGCCCTCAGCACATGGGGTGTCCCTTCCCGACACAACAGCCGGTTGATGAATACAGTGCGCACAGCAAAGGCATGTGTGAGCGTTTGCCCATTTCAAGGGATCTACCCTAGTCAAGCGTGCAATGAGACAAAACATGGCATGATGCAGAACCACTTCCTGGTTGCACAAACGGCACGCATGGAACGAACCCTTGGTCCGAGGTGCATAGATGTGGTCGCCTACCAGCGGCCGCCCAATGCCAGCTAGGTGGGCTCTGATTTGGTGAGTCCGGCCTGCACAACTACTGGGCCATTCTCAGCTGCGAGCTCGTGTTTGCACTCCGGTGCCGAGCTACACTGGAAGTGGTCTGGCTATGTGTCATTGTGCCACGGATCGCTGTGCATAGCGCCCGCCTGTTGTCAAGCAAGATCTAAATGTTCACGTTGTGGCAAGCCTTACAAAGCTTCAGCTTTTGTGCAGGGTCGCTTGAGGGCGAGTAAAATCCTGAGGTGTTTGCAGGATAGTGGCTGCCCTCGGCCTAGCTTCTGCCAGTAACTGCTCATTGCATCCGGGAGGGCAGATTTGAATCAAGTCTCCGACCTTGTGTAACTTGTTTGGATGCCTCCCGGCTGTGAATGGGAACTACCAGCATGATGTGTTTGCACATGTGCCATAATTCCAGTGCAGTTTGACAGCTCGTCTCCCTCGCGCAGCCACCCGTCCCGCCTGTCAACGGCTTCACCCGGAGCAGTGAGAGCGCGTCGCCCTCAGGGGATTGCAGGAGTTCCTTAGGCAAATGGCAAAAGCGAATGGAACTTGCGGCCGGTTGCCGAACGGCTGCATGCCAAAGCTCAAAAGCCACTGTACTAGATGACCCTCCATACTCAAGCCATGCTGGAAGTGCGGGGGCGCTCATGCTGCGCTCATTTGTGACTTTTGCCATGGTGTGAGGGGAACGGAGCCCAGGCTGATGTTTCTACAAATGGGAACGCCCCAGAAAACGTGCCTTTGCAAGGGGCGTCCAGGCCCTTCTGTGGACAATCCCTCAAAGCCTAAAGAGTATCCGGGACTCCTGGTTATCACGTGATGCCAACATACCAAATTGTCGGCGTGAAGCCTTCAAAGGAAAAACCAACTCCCGCGGCAAAAAGCTGACATGCGAGGAGAGAGTGCTTGCTCGGATCTGCAGTCTGAGTTCAGCATGTTTTGAATGTGCGTGTGCGTGTGCGTGTGCGTGTGCGTGTGCGTGTGCGTGCGCGTGGGCGTGCGCGTGGGCGTGCGCGTGGGCGTGCGCGTGCGCGTGCGCGTGCGCGTGCGGGTGCGCGTGGGCGTGCGCGTGCGCGTGCGTGGGTGGGTGTGGGTGTGGGTGTGGGTGTGGGTGTGAGTGTGGGTGTGGGTGTGGGTGTGGGTGTGGGTGTGGGTGTGGGTGTGGGTGTGGGTGTGGGTGTGGGTGTGGGTGTGTGTGTGTGTGTGTTCAAGTTGCACATGCACACTTTTGCACGTAACGCACGCACAACAATCACAAAGGCCCCCGAAAACAGAAAGTATGTTGTGAAACATGTATTTCCGAGTTCGATTTTCGGCACCCTAAAAATGTTAAAACAAGCAACAACTTCTGCAAAACAGAAGTTAGATGCCTAGTTCAAGTGCAGTTCGTGGTTTTACAGGTGCTGCTAGGGGGAAGTCGGCAGCGTTTGTTTTCCTTTTACTATCCATTATCAACTCCACCTTTATCATTTCAAAGATGGGGCAATTCTATTCTTATCCGCGTATGGTACTGGGGAGTGGCCACCATCAACCACCATGGACTTGTCTCCCTGCAAGGCTGGATTTCATGGGCGCCAAGTGCCACAGCACCAGCTCACAACCCCGCAAAGGCCTCCAGAAATTGCAATCCAACGTAGTTCACATCATGCACTCTTGCCAGAGCAGCCGTCGGGCAACATGTGAAGCCCTCCATCCGTAGCTCATTGCTTCTTGCTGCCGCTGTTTCTGATTAATTACATGCGATCAACTGCCGCCTTACGCGTGCCAAGGCGGCTGCATCTGTGCACGCTCAAGCACGTTTAAGAATAAATAAACGAAGGTGCAAGCTTGAGTGACCCAGCTGTGTGGCATGGGGGCTCAAGAAAACGCGGCATTTACGAGACTAATCAGAAACCAAAATGCAATAATTACTCCTCTGCCGCGTTTGCAACCGCCTGTCAAGCTCCATTGGAGCGGAACAATAATCAGTTTGCATTCCGCAGAAAGCATGCGGACCAAGCATCTTTGACCTCGTACTCAGTTTTGGCCTCTCACAGGGGTGCGTCAGGGTTTGGCTGCGAGATTAATTCGTTCCAACTAGGGCTTAAAACTTGCAATGCGCTTGTTACAGCTCGAAAGCATCAGCTAGAACACATTGCCAACAAAACCTCAGCAATGTTACCCGATTCAAATTCCTCCCGCCTCCTTTCCGCTGGGCGACCAGATTGTCCTCAGCTGTGCTAAGCCTTCCTCCTTCTGCGGCAGCAGCCGCCCAGAAATCAAACCTGGAAAGCCGATGCATGGAATCCACGGTTGCAGTCTGCCCTAAGGCTAATCCAGGCCTGCCAAAGGCCAAAGGCTCCCCTATCCGAAAAAATGCCCGGATCAGCTACCTGCAAAGTGTTCAACTCAGGCAAACAGAGCGGCCAACGGCCCACTATATGTTTCTTCTGAATTGCTCGCTGGCCATCTGTTCAAACTTAGGGGGCTGGGTTGCCATTGGCATCGCCATGTGAACTGCAAAGAAGCAAATGCAGAAACATCAAATTCTAATTACATCAACCTAGTGGGCATCCCAAATAATATGCCGCCATGCCCAGACATGGACTCCTTGCTCCACACAGGCATCGTGCATCTTCAGCACCGCCAGTGCACAAATTGATGTTGGGGCGGGCTCTGATGAGGATGGGGTCCAGCTTCAAGATTTCTTGACTTGCGGTGAGTCCCATCTTCCACGTTTGAGGGTGTGCGAAGTACCCAACGAACTCTCTGCGAGCAGCGTGCGCGTTGAAGCCCCCTCGCTGCGGGGCCATGCTTCGATGAACCCTTTGCAAGTGGCGTGGGCGTGTTTGACGCAGTGCAAAATCTGAGAGACCCTCTGTGCACGGCAGCGTGCGAATCGAAAGCGCTCCGGCCGCGATGTCTTGTTTCGGGGATCGTGAGCAGTAGTAGCAGGTGCATTAGCAGCAGTAACAGTAGTAGCAGGTGCATTAGCAGCAGCAGCAGTAGTAGCAGGTGCATTAGCAGTAGCAGCAGCAGTAGCAGTAGCAGTAGCAGAAGCAGCAGCAACAGCAGTCGCAGTAGTGGTAGTAGTAGTGGTGGTAGTAGTAGTAGTAGCAGACCTAGGAGAAAAGCATACTCACATGTCTAGGCCTCGCCACCAAAAAATGACTCCAATCAAAGGGGCATCGGTAAAGTATCAATAGGGGTATCGTGCTGGACACATCTAAATTCCAGGAGGGTTTACTACAATGGTATTTGATAAGAGGCTGACTCATATGGGTTCAGTGCGGGTTGACTCGGGTGGTCTACCGAAGGGGGTGCGCTGAGGCTCTTACACACATCCCACCGCTCTTGGGGTCTCCTGGTACCAAAAGCATTCTGTGCCGTGTAGTTGTGCAACATCACAATAGCGCAGCTCAAGCTACCGGAGCTGTCACTTGTAGACTTGGAACCCACACAGTCACATCTCTCTTGTTTCTCCGCAGGGCATCACACATAGCGCGCCCCCCCTCCCCCCTCATCGTCACGGGCATACCACTGATCCTCCCTCCTCCCCCTCTCCACAACTCAAACCGAACACACGGGTTCCTGGTGGCCTGCCTTCCGTGCCAGCTTCGCCCAGCGGCTCGCCCAAGCAAAGGCATGCGTACTCCTTGGAGACCTCAAACGCCCCCGGCACCCCCAAGCAACTCCAGCTAGGGCAACCAGGTTGGTCCAAGTGGAACGGTTTCAAGGGCTTGGACTGCTTTGCCGGGCCAGAAAGGGCACACCCTAGCAACAAAGTCATGAAGAGTACGGTGGAGCCGGTCCTTTCCCCACAACCAAACTATCCCAAACTATCCCAAACTACCAGACAGTTCCAACGTCAAACTGGGTCTCGCACTCCGGTCACAAGCGACACAAGAGGTGTAAATCCGAGGCACCTTGCAGGCAGCAAATTGGAAGTTCAGCCACTGCGCCGCCGCAGATGCCTCTTCCGGACGTGGTCAGCTCCACTGTGACAACTGTGCAAATCCGAAATGTGAGCCTCCGGCTTGAAATTGGCGTCAATTTACTGGTGCCACTGACGACGTTCTGATGGACGCAGCAAATCCACTACGAAATGCTTTTATACCGATTTTTGCCGCCATATCCGCGAACCAGGAAGTGCACGCGGACCATTCCCACAAAACTATTCCAAAAACACTTCCATGTTTGAGAGGGTAGCTAAAGGGCAGGACTGCACCAACAACCCTGAACACCTTTACACCATCGAACATCCCAAACTCTATGAATTTCTGAATTCTAGTTTCCACGAACTGTCCCCTCCAAAAGAACGAAGAATAAAAACAAGAAGTCGACCTGGCCCCCGCTCTCGCCTCATTGCCCAAGGCCACCGGCATCACCCCAGAGGTTGCGCCGTCCAGGCGCGAGGCCCGCGCAAGGGGCCGCTGGAGCCGGTGGCCTAGCCTGAGGTTCCCTGCCGATCGGGCTCCAAGTAAACACACATGCCCAACTCACGCGACCTCACAGGCGACACTTCAACGAAACCAAGGGAACAGCCTAGGAACAATCAGATGGAGTTCTGGCGCTCATTTCGCCGGGAATGCAATGGGTCAGCTGTCGGTGACAAGGACCAATCAAGGACCACTGCTTCACTTAGGCATCCAGCGAGCCAAAACAACGGGACACCTCGGGCTTTCCTGTCGCCCCCCAGCATCGAACAACAGGTGGAGCAAAGCCTCCGTAATCACAATGGGCCTGGGCTTCCAGTTCATGGCCGGCTGCCACCTCGCCCACCCCTTAGTCTGAGGAGCATCTGCAGGGCTGAGGAGCTGCTCACACCAAAAGGCTTCTGAAATGCTGCGAGCCCATCTGCATGGCCCAAGACTACGAGCTCCTCCCCAGAGGTGTCCTCAGTTGCCGGCGAAAGCAACGTTCAAAAACAGCGAGAAGCTTAATGCTGCCGGCGTTGGCATGCCAACGTTAACGGATAAACACGATCCCTGGCAAAAACCTATGCAACAATCATGGACTTGCCCTGCGGGCTTGAAACTACATCTGAGAAAGCACACTGGTTCGCAATGCTCGACAATTCGAAACACAACTTGCATGTGTATCAAGCTTGTCAGCGAAGGCCCCCAGCAGCCAAGACTCTGGCAAATCCTGGTCATCGGTGTGTCTGCACTTCTGCCACTGGCGCCGCAAACGGCTGGTGTGTTCAGTAGCTTCCTGCTCGGGCATGGCCCGGACAATGGCTCCCCAAATGATGCCATTGGGGCAGGACGATGTCGTCTGCAGCGACAAGCCGAGAGCATGCTGCCAGGCAGCACCTTGCGTGCAAGCACTGATGGCACTGTTTAAGCAGATTTCATCCTTCGCCACCATCCATGTGGTCATCTCCTCTGGGCTGGTCGGGACCGTCTGAGAACCATCCCCTTCTAGAAGTGAATGTCGGGAAAAGAAGCGCTTTCCAAAATTCCACACGGTCAAAAAACGAATCAAAGATCGCGGAGCTCAGTCCTGTAGAATTGCCAGCGCCCGCTGCCACTCCTGAGCCTTCTCACATGCGCTAATGATGGCGCTGTAGCAAATGGTGTCGGGCGCCGTGTGCGCGTCCGGCATCGCCCGGAAGATGGACAGCGCGGTTTCCCATTGCTTGGCCTTTTCGCAGGCGGTGAGGACACTCGCAAAGGTCACCACATCCTGAGTGAGAAAACCGCTTCAGGAAACTCGCGCATGTTCACCGGCGTGCCCTCAGCGAAACAAGCATCTGGCTCCACCGTGCTACTCACAGTTCTTGGATCCCAAGGCTCACAGAAACACATTTGATACGGCAGTGGCGCGGCCTGTTTGTTTGCCTGCTTGTTTGCCTTCGTCAGTTGGCGCTTGGATTGGTACTACCTGGCCCCTGCAACACTTGCCAAGGGTTGGCCCTTTCTCACCTTGGCTTCCGAGTGTCCGGTGAAGTGCTGGGCCGCATCTCCTGCAGAATGCCTAGGGCATTCTTCCAAAGGCTGGCAGTCGCACAAGCGCTCACCGCGGCATTGTAGCTGATGCAATCCTGACATGCAATGACAGGCCAATCTTTTAGGACTACCGGAAACTTGGGAACAGCAAAATCAAGTTGAGAGGACGGCAAAGCTAAAAGGTCGGCCTTTGGGCACATCACAAGAATCCGGCGTGCAGGATGTTTCCATGGCCCGCAGCAGGTCCAATGCCACCTCCGCGCGGCCGCCCTTCGCACAGGCGCTGATGGCGGCGTTGAAGGAGAACTCGGAGGGGGGGACGGACTCCTCCTCCATGGCATCCAACAGCGAGAGGGCCATCTCCCACTTGCCGCGCCTAGATAAAAAGAAAAGGGCAGGCCATTGGGAATGGCCGCATGTTTGTTTTTTTTTTTTTTTTTGGGGGGGGGGCATCGGAAAACAAAACTGCCAAACCTGAGCGTGGGCGCTTCTCACAGGCGCTGATGATGCTGGAAAAGTGGAACTGATTAATCTCCATTTGCAGATCCTTCATGAAGCGGAAGACCTTTGTGGACACATCCCAAAGCCCCCGTTTTGCCAGAGCGGTCAGGATCGTGGTGGCGGCGCGGGGGTTGGCCTTCCAGAACCCTCCAGCAGGGCGGCATGCATCGAACACAGCACTTTGAGAAGGATGGGGGCCCAATGCCAGCAAGCCTTCCAAGGTCTCCTCCTTGCCCTTCCATCCACCCCTGCGGCCAGCTCCGCGTCTGCGTGGCGCACGCTGTTCACGCTGCTCGTGCTGCCAGGGCACAGCACGCATGGCTACCAAGGGCTGCCCGACTTCGGGAAACATGATCCGCGTCACCGAGCAGCCAGTGTGCTTGCACTGTGACTGCGGCACCTTTCCATTTTTCGGGCGCCTTGCCAGAAGCCAAGCGGCTGCACATGCAGGCGCTTCTAGAAGCAAGAAAATAGTGTAAAGCCCAGAGGCTGACTGACAACTTGCAAACACACGGCGCTGAAAAAGGTGCGGCTAACAAGTTGGTGTGGAAAACAGTGTCCTTGGAACGATTCTCACACAAATCATCCGGATCCAAATCTGGATTCTTTCACGGGGCGACGAGCACACTCGCTAATCCAAATTAAGGCAACGGCCATGTCCAGCCAGCTGTCAAGTTGCTCCACGAAGGTGCGGCTTTCCAGCCAGACATCGATACAAAGCCTCAAACCATGGAGTTCAGCAGCCTGAACCCTGACGCAAGGCCGCTGAACCGTCTCTTGGCAAGGAATGAATGGCGCTTAGTCAGCCGATGGCTTGCTGAAGTCGATTGGGGAATGGCTGGGTACAGGGCATTGAAGGGGTGCGTGTCTGATCTGAGCGGTGTTTGAGTGCCAGCATGACAGAAAGCTTGTTCCTGCCAGGTAAGTCAAGCCATAGGTTTGAGGGGCAGCATCATGATGGCTGTTGCGAAACCTCTGCTCCCTCCCTTTTTCCTCCATGGAGGAAGCTTTGAGTTGAACTGTGTTTTGGGTTCATGAGGCAGCCCTATGCAAAAGCCGGTCATGTCGCACGGCTTTGCGAAAGCATCGAACGCCTCGGCCCCAGGTGCCGGCCGAGGGAGCGCTGAGCCCGTGACGTCTCCGCGCCTGGTGGGACAGGCCTTGGCCAAGTCGCATGATGCTTCCTTGCAAAAGGTGTTACGCATGGCTAGCCGAAACATCAGGTACAACGAGCCAGCAAACTATGGCAGGAAACCATGGCTGCAGCTTGATCAAAGTTGCATCTTCAGCCCCCTTGAAGACTCGGAGTTTGAGGCCCAATGGACGCAGCTTGCCTTAACGGAAACCTGACCTTGGCGTGATGCAAGCTGGAGTAGGCTTGCTAGACGATTCCCCTCGCGGGGCTCAGGCAGATCCAAGTCCTGCGCAGCTTGCTGGGCACTGGAGATCAAACCCTCAGACCTCCAAAGACCTCGGTGAATCATCTAAGTACAGTATTTCTCTTCATTGGCGAACGCCATCCTTGAAATTCTGGCAACTTCCTCGAAAGCGGACGGCCAGCCAAACGTGGAAATCAGATCTAGCACCACACCCGCGCGCGTCTCCTCCTGGAAATCGCAGGCAAGCTTCGCCGAGTATCTTCCGTCACTGGCGACGGCTCGGCTGTACTTCAGCTCCTTGCGGAACTTCAGCGAGGCATTTGGCAGGCTTCATTGAAAAAGGGGGGGCAAAGTGAGTTTATGTACAAGGTACACGGGCGCCGAAAAGTCATTGGGAATGCTTGCCAACATCCGACTCACTGGGCATAAGCGCTCTCCAGCCCGTGACATCTTGCATTGCTCTTCTCAAACGTTGCATGTCGTGCTTGTGTTTTCCTGTCCAAAAACGGCAATGCATGAGGAACCCTCCATTTCCGTCAAATGTTAAATGGCGCAACATCTAGAACTGCACAATTTCGCTGTCTGCATCGTAGCCTCATTGTGTTTGAAGGGCATAAGAACCCCACACCGCTCAGCCCCAAACACAATATACCCTCAGCCCTCATATATGAATCTATGCTAATATGTATGGTAAGCTCGCGTAACTACACAACAGCTCAGGAATCCACACGTGGCGACTGACCTGTTTGCGATGAGGTTTGAGGTTCAATAACTTGCACTAGTGAATAGCTCGCATCCGTGCCTTGCGAGCAGTTGCCGGCTGCCCATCTGCCCATCCTGCGGAGGCTTTTTACTCACACATGCACAAGGAGGGGAATCAAATGTGATTGAAAATCACCTCACAGGAAGAAGTTGTAAAGCATTCTCTCTCTCTCTCTGTCTATATACGTATATATATATACTAATATAACATTGCACAATTATACATAATTGCGTCCCTTTTGGCCGTGTTGCTTGGGTTCCATGCCGAAAAGAAACCACGGGGCTGCGGCGATTCATGGCGACTCTTAACTCTCAGGCTGCGTGGTTGGCTCTCTCTCCTCTGTTACGGGGATGCTCCCCCAACAATTTAGAAAGCTACTGTCGATGCACCACCTAAGAACGCTAAGAAACCATGAATCTGTGTAAACACCAACGAGCCATGGTGTCCCATGGTTTCAAAGTGGTGAAGGATTTCGCCCAATCCACAGTATGGAACCCTGGCAGGACATGTCTCATTTCTGCCTTTGTTCTGATGAAATCCCCGCTGCTACAATTTGCGGGTGATATGAGCGATGCCAAAAGGCGATGGGAACGTAGGGTTCATGTCGAATGGGTGAAGCCCACAGTTGAGTTACAACCAGATCCCGAGGTACCGGGCCTGAATATGCCTTCAAACGCATGCGGTTCCTAATACCTAGAAATACCTAGAAAACCTGGAGTGGATAATTTTCGCTTTTTGCCGTAACTGCATAAATTGTAGTCGTTTCCATCAACAACAAAAAACGCATTTTCCTTCAAAAAGCGCCCTTGGGACACCTGCCTAGAACTGGGTTCGGCAAAAACCGCCTTTGTATCGCCAAAAAACGTTTTTGTATCGGGGAAAACCGCCTCCGCCAGTTTGTTGCATACATCCAAAAAAACAAAACACTGCAAAATTGCCGCCAGGCAAACACACGATGACCTTCCCTGAAAAAGCAGTTTCCCACGAAAAGGAAAACAAATCGGACTTAGGAAGATCCAGGCATGCCTCTTAGCGCATATGCCCTTCCTCCAACGATCATGGAAGCTGGCAAGTTTCCGGTTGGTACCCTACACGAGGCGTCCAAGGAACGCAGATCGAAGACCAACACGCTTGCCCGAAACAAGAGGCTGGGCTGGCCTGTTGGCTCAAATGATGCGGAAATGAAAGGGCGAGCTAACTATTTGAAGCATTTCAGAACCTTTCACGGAAACTGACCGAAGCAAGAACAAACAACAAGTCAAAATAGGTGAAAATGTCGATTTGCTCTAGGCCAGTAAGCTACGGGCCAACACAGCGCACCTGAATGGGGAGCCTTGACATGCGCGGGAACGACTCACTGCTTGGGCTGGTGCGCGCGGGCGGCCGCCCGCCGGGTTGCAGCATGACCCGGAACCCGCTGGTCTCGAACCTGGCGTCGACAGCTTCGATTTGTCTTGCGCATGGCCCACCAAGCTGCCTCTGGGCTTGAGCTCTGAACCGACAAGGGAAATCATGCAGCATCTGGTTTAGTTCTGGCACAATCCATCAGATCATCAATATCATGTTTCCCCCTTCAAGACAACATCTGACTACTTGCAAAACTTCTTTCATGTCAAACAAGTGGAAAAGAAACATACTGGAGTAAGCCTCAGCAATACTAAAGCAAGACACCAATAACATAGAGTGCTGGAGAGGGGGGCTCTTCTAGACTGTTGCCCTCGACTTGTCTGATTCTTTGTGGGGCGGCGTTAGACAGGGATGACAGGGTACCACATCTTGGAACGAAATCCAGTTGGGCTTCCCAGAAGCGCTGGTCATGTCCAAAGCTGCAGCCAGGGTCCCGGCAGGCCAGGAGTGCCAAAGCCGAAGCTTTCAAACCTCAAGCATTCCATCTTGTTCGCGTTCGCCCGAACCGGCTGGCCTTGTTTATTCGATTGTGTTGGTTGGCAAGTAGAACATGGAAACCGGGTGCAACTGGGCTCACCTCCGGGCCTTGCGGCACTTGCAACCGCAAACTTGGCCCCAATCGATGCAACTGTTTGCAAAGCAGCTGGACCAGGGGTCGGGCTCCACGGATCTAATGTGCACTTGCAGCGACGCACCTGTGCAAGCACATGCACTTGCTGCCCGAGCAGGGGCCTGGAAGCCCGAAGATGGTGAGAGTGCATGTCAATATGGGGGAGGCATACGATCAACAGCATGCTTTCATCCATTCAGGGTGCTCAAGGTCAGCCACTTCCGCAGCTGGCCTGCTTCTTTTGGGCTTGGCGCTGTGGGTGGCTCGCGCTCGCTTGCCACTCGGCCCTTGGTGTGCGAGCATGTGCGAGACAAAAAAATACACACATGAAACCAATTTGAGCAAAAGCCTGAGCCCATGCAAGCCAATCAGCAACTCAAAGCTGATATGCCACCGCGCCATTCCTCCCAGTGCTTCCACAAAAGCACCAGGCGCCGCATATTTTTTCAACTCCCAAAGCGCCAGCCGCAGCGCCAACCTGAACAAGCCCCCGTGGACGGAAAGTCCATGAAGATCCCTCGTTAGCGTTTCTTTCCACCTCTGCTGTTCATGTGTTGTGCTTCTGCAGGACAGCTTTTCCTTGGCTGCTCCAATCGGAAGTTGTCTTTGTGCCAAACACACACACTAGCAAATACAGGTTGCTTTTGCGACGTCTGTTGGCCAAGCTGGCTAGCTCGGCTTTCAGCTGTTGTTGGTTCAGACCCTTGCTCAAATGCAGTTGCGCAACAACTGAGCAAGCAACAGTTCTGACCGAAACGAAAGCTGCATGGCGCTTCATTCAGGTCAGGCTGAACTGAACTCGTCGATCTCAAACGTGCTCTCGCCTCAAGGTTCCTCGTCGTCGTAGAATGATCGCGAGGAGCGTTTGGACCAGCGCTCTCCAGCCTCATCCAAGTCCTGTCAAGCCCTCACATCTGTTATGTGGCCCTCGAAACTTGCAAGGTGCACAAGGGGTATGGTAGGTACGCCACGTATACGCGGGAGTTCCGTTGGATTTGGAAGGCACACAAGTCTGACCTTTCAAGGGAGAACTTGTGGCACGCCGCCATGGCCTCGCCGATGGGCTCAAGGAACTTGCCGAGCGCCAGAACCTTGGGTGACGCGAATGCATTGAGGGAAAGCCGTCTAGCTGGCCACAGAAAGCCCTGGCCGACACACTTCTTTCCAAGGAAAGGTTTGCGCTGATGTGCAAGCTGGGGCGTGACAAACTTCAGCATTGAGGACAACCGCTCCCAGAAGACAGGATGACGGCCAAAGCGTGATTCCTCCCCATTTCGAGTATTGCGTGTTTTGGGTGCGTGGCATGTCGCGACAGTCCTGCAGAGGCAAATCCACCATCTGCCGGCGGGTCGCCGCGGCGATATTGCTGCAGCTGTGAAACGGCTTTCTGAGGCAACTTCGACAAACCAGGATCACAGTCTCCTTTCAGTCCAGTCACTGCCCTGACACACCCTGAATGTTCATGAATTGTGGTTGGAGAAGCTCCTCAAACAGTGAAACGATTCGGCCAGGCCGGCCGGCCTTTCGTGCAGTCGGAGGTGACAATGGTACAAGGTTTGCTTGTGGCACACTGCACACAGCTGATTTCAAGCTCTGTGCTGCCCAAGTGAAACCCACAAGGGCTTCTCACTCGTTGCTCTTCACCTGCAGGCAAGACTGCACTTGTCGGCAACACCCTTCAACAACCTGCTGGACATTTAAGATCATTTAAGGGGTCAATCCAAAAGTCCAAAAGCTATAACTCTTCACGCTTTTCCCAACATACTTCTTGGCTCACCACTTTTCCCAAGCTGTGCTGCAAGTGGCCGGGCGGCCGTCCAGGCCTGGTCCTTGAAGAACTGAGTGGCCACCTTGTGGGCAGCAGTCGCGGCATCCGTCGCCTCCTGCAGCAAGCCTCGGTGCGAACGGCCCGTGGAAGCCGCACAATGCCGCCGGTTCGGAGCTCTAAAGCTTGGAGTGTTTCTGAGCACCCCTTCATGCAGTGTACTTCGACAACTGGGTTGAACGTTGAGAGTCCGCAAAATGTCCAACGAAAAACAGCCACCATTCTGCATATGCCAACGAGAGTTCTTCCAATGCCCCGGTGGGTTGTTAGTTGCCGCTGGCGGTATCCTGAAAGACATCGGTCAACCAAATCGCCCCTCGCGCAGCGCATGTTGCTCCTTGCAGCCTGGGAAGGACACTTGGTTGCTTTTGTCGGCACGGCAGATCACAAAATTCTTATCAGTACAACAACCATGGATGTAAGCTTTCAACTTTGCGTTTTGGGGGGGGGCTTCTTAGCCAGAAGGGAGGGGAACCTGTCAGCACCATCAACTCAAGGTCATCGCCCCTGTCCCTCCGCGGGCACGCCAAGGCTGGAGCATTCCATGAGGGCTGCCTGTCCGAATTGCGCAAGTGCTTGGTCATGCACCTGAGCGGCATTGACTGAGTCACCTGCTTCTCTGTTGGGGGATTTCTCCGAAGACCTGCCTGTTCCAACATGCGCGTGCATGCTCCAATGCACTGTAAGTGGCAACATGTTCCGGGATGACCTAGACGCAACCAAACGACACATGCGACATCCACGTGCGCAGGTCCCTCGGCATTGCATCTGAGTTGCTTTGGCATCTGCCGAGTCATAGGCAGTCTGGACCTCCGCCTCTGTGCTGCCTCGGTTTTGGCGGAGAATCGGGCGCCATACGCAAAGGTGACACAAAACGCCATCAATCAGCATGCCCCCCTAAACACCCACAAACAATGTGGGATTCTTGATGCTTTGAATTGTGAAGCGGGAAAGCGGCAAAGGGCAATCACCTGGGATATAGACCTTGCGGTGCATCATCTATGCCAACATTTGCGAACCACTTGACTTAAGCTCCAGTCTGAGAAAACCGGCAATAGCTGAGAATCGTTTGTCAACGCTTCCTGTTTACCAGCCGCTGCGGACGTCCTCTCCATAGGTATGGAACCCCCCAAAGCTTGTGAAACAGGAACGTTGCAATGGTAATCTATGTATGCAAAGGGTCCGGGAAATGTGTAACGGCAGCAGGTGGGAAACCAGTCCAGGCCAAACAAACCAGGAACGTTGAAATAGCAAGTCTAAAGCATGCACCCAGGCAACGTGTACTGTTGAGAATCGAACTCCAAACATGTGACAAATGTACCCTTGGCCCCCCTGCGCTTGAAACAGGGTCTGCTTGTGCTTCTTCTTCTTCCAGCCGGCAGCCCAAACAGCAAACAAAACAGGGGGGTTGACACCTGCGCTAGTGCCTTGTTTCCGCACGCCTCCCGGCCCGAAGCCTACACCCTAGCCAGTCACCGCCAGGCCCAGCTTCACTTCGCAACCAAGGGCACAGAGATTTTGGACCAAAGCAACAAGGCAATAGCTGCCACGTGCCCTGGCCACAGGCCAGGCCTTTCTTTCGGAGACTTCCCATCTAACAGGGCCCTGGCAAAGGCAAGCGAAGGCGGCCGCCCCGAGCTTCACGTGGAGCACGCCTGGAAGAAGCGCGGTTGTTTTGGCTCGCTCGCGCGCGCCCAGGAGGGCCAAGGGCTAAAGATCTGGGAAGTCGATCTTAGCACCTTGGAAATCTTTCAGGTTACCTGCTGGCTCGCTTTTAGGTTTGTTGGCGGCGCACCCTCGCTGCCTACAGGATCTTTTGAGGTGGAACATGCTAGGCAAAAGGGCCGTGTTGGACAAATCAGGCTTCGTCTGCTGTCCTGCCAGTGTTGCCAGGCTCTCGACCACTGCGAACTGGTCCCTGACGATGTTGTTCTTGATCTTAGCAGGCCGGGTTGGGCTGTGACTGCCCTGCCTACATGATGTCTCCAAACAGCATGCATGTTAATTACAAGCACATTCTTCCTTTCTTGGGCACGGGCACCTAAGCTACCAAGGCCTTCGGCAAAGGTCCGACAAACGCAACACATGAGAACTAACCACAAACGCTCCATACATTTAAGTGATGCCCAAAGTGCCGCTGCAATCTCTTGAACAACTTGCAGTGTCCAGCCTCTTCAATCTTCCGGGATTGCCACAACTATAGCTTAGAGGTGCTATAGAAAAAGAAGAGCAGTAAGCTCTTATTGCGTAGTGCAAATCATTCAGGAGGGTCAAGTACACGGAAGGCCTTGTATGATTCGAGGGTGACCTTCCTCTACTGTATACTAAGGGCCGAACATCTTGTGCCGCATGGCATATCGGCTGAGACATCGGCTGAGCTGTCTGTAGGGTAGTTGGTCAAGAGGAAGGTGCCCATAGGATTGGCGGACTTCATGAAGGCTTCCTTCAACAACTCCGCCTCAATCACATGCAAATGCACAGAAAAACCTGTCTCCCGGAAAGCCCTTGCAGCTGCCCAGAAGGCGTGGGGCAAGACACAAATGCGCATGAGCCAAGGCCGCGACCCAAACTTTCATCGGCAGATTGTCCTTGGACAGCAGGCCCTAGTCTAGAGCTCTCAGTCTTGACGAAAGCAGGTATACACACCGGATTGACTTTTCCCGTGACCCTTCGGGGAACATCATCTATGTGTAGTTTGAAAGGGGATGATTGTAGAGCCTGATCCGTAGGTCCGAGCACAAAAGAAAGCAAGCCACTTGCGTTTATTGCGCAAACAATAGCCAGTCGAGCGTGTAGATGGCAATCCGCAACTTGCTCTTCCTTCGGAATGTTCTTTTAATTCCGCAAACTTTCAGGGAGGCCATTTCAATTTGCTAGGTGTCCAAAGCCTTGTACTTTTTACACTGTGTGCTGCCTTGGCGGCATGACTTACTTTTTTCTATTTATTCTGATATCCATGGTCTGGTGCTTTGCTGTTTTGAGCGGGGTTGGATTTGGCACGCTTGGGGTCTTGGCGGGGGCAAGTGTAGTGACGATCTTGGAACTGCTTCTTTTTGGAACATGTCTTTTTGCGAAATCCTCATTAGTATCGGGGCGTCGCTGCGAAACATCGCCAGCATTTTTGTGCTTTTGAAAGTTTATATTTCGGGTGATTTTGGAAAATTCACGGAAGACTGAAACACTGGTATTTGCATGCTGCATCCCCAGCATTCCCAGCACTCCGTGCATTTCTCGCAGCCTGCCATCCGCTGTACTTTGCCAAGTTTTTGCGTCCAAAGTTCATGACATTTTGGGCTTTGGACATTTGGTCCGGATTGGTATGCTCTGGCTGCATCCTCCGCAATCTCAGCATATGGGAGGGATAGGCAGTTAGTCGCTGCAGTCATCGCACCACAGAGAGCGTCGGCGGATCTCGTACCGATTTCAACGGAAACAGTGGACTTCACGGACGAAGGTCCAGTG